GAGAGGCCTGGCGTAGCAAGAGCTGGGTATTTACCGTTTTTGAGACGTGATTGACAGTTTCTGGTGGTCGGTGACACTTTGTTACATTTTGGATAGTCTCTGTCAATCTTCCCCATTGCCGGCCAAGTCTTCTTTGAACAAGCAATACCTGGAACTTTCTGGAATTTTGGTTACGTTCAGTGATTCCTGGGTCAGAAAAGGGACAGAGCGTCTTGGGTGCGAACAGGAAAGTAAGTCATGGCGACTTGTCTGTTACGTGTAACGAAGTGTCTGATGTTAAGCATGACATGGTTGATGTTACTGTTTCGCCGCCTAGGGATAATAGGAATATCAAACTCCCTAAATTTGAACCACGGCGTTTCGACGGAAACCCAGCTGACTATTTACGGTTTGTAAAGGAGTTTGAGATCATGTTGAGTGGTTTTTTATTAAATGATGAAATGAATTTAATGTATTTGATGAGGCACTGCACCGGAGTTGCTTCAAGAGCTATAAGGTGCGGTAAGCTCATGCCCCCTGAAGAAGGATACTCTGAGGCTATGAGTATACTACGGCAAAGATTCGGAAGAACTTCAATGATTGAAGGGAAATTATTCGAGGCTGTTAAGGGTAATGGGGGTCAATTACAAGATGACTCCAAGGCACTCACTGAGTTTTTGGATAATCTGTTGACTTACAAGAATGCATTGATTTCGATGATTTGCATGAGTGACCTCAACTCGAGTTTTATACTAGAAGTAATAGCAAGACGCCTACCTACTCGACTGCAAAGGAAGTGGGTGAAGATAAACTCTCGTATAGAGGATGAAGGTATTGAGCCAAAGTTTGATGATATTCTGAAACTGGTAAAAGATAGTGTCAATCAATCTATGAGCAAGTTTGCTAGTATATTGAATCTCACCCCTAGAATAGAGCAGTCTGAGGGAAAAACGCAATCATTGATGACGAAAGGGCGTCAGAGAGGTGGATATCGAGAAGGCTCTATGGTGTCTAGTGATGCATATAGACCTAGTGAGTGTGACAGGTTTCGTAGTACATCCTCAACAGATAAGTTACAAGCTGCAAGACAAACACGGCTTTGTTTTACACGTTTGCAAGAGGTGCGTAAAAAGGTGAGCTGTGAATCAGTGAGCAAGTTAAGTGGTAAGCTAAATGTGAAATTGGGGTCTGACCCCAAATTGTGTGGCGACAACGGTGTGGTCAAGAAGTCTGTAGTTGCAACTGGTAAGCCATAGTTTAATAGAGTGTCACGGAGGAGAGTTACAGTTTCAGAGTCCAGTTCTGACTCCACAAGTTGGAATAAAGGATTCTCGATTCGCCAATCGGTATTTTTATTTTGTCGTTCGTTAGTACTAAGCGTTTCTGAAAGGCTTCGAGGGACAGCGAGAGGCCTCCCGTAGCAAGAGCTGGCTATTAACGGTTTTTGAGACGTGATTAACAACACTGTTGACTGGAAGAGTATCCACTCACTGGTCAGATTTCAAACTTTTAATGAAGTTGTAAGTAATTATTGACCTTTCATTCCCAGCTGTATCTAGGTAATTCAGCAACCGAAAGACCTGCCTCGAGGATATAACGAATTGACCCGTAATCGCTAAGCTGTGCCACTTCAATGTGGATCTATAGATTTAGTTTCGGCTGTGCAGAGAGCTATATAGGGCGAACAACTAGACAGCTTAACAAACGCATTGACGAGCATCTTCCTTTATGGTTCGGAAAAAGTCAAATAAAATCCATACGAAGTTCTATTTTGGCTCATTTGATTGATAGCAGTCACAAAGTGGACAAAAGTAGTGCCTTCAAAGTTATATATCGCATTACATCGAGTCTTTCGAGCAGAATCAGAACCCATCTTTTACACTTAGCCGAAGCTACGGGAATTCGAGAGAACATTGCTAGTCTTTATATACAAAAGAAATTTGTTGTACCTTTGTCTCTCCCTTGCTTGGCCTAGGTGAATTCTATTCAAAACCTTCCCACCCTTTCTTATTTTCCATCTCCTTCGTATTTTTATGATATCTATTTAAACTCTAAATATATGTCTACTTCACCTTTCAAGATTTGACCTAATTTATTCATTTATTAGATTGTCTACATATGCACACCTATACAAATACTATCTTCGTTATTATCACCTGCATAATTCTTGTTATCAATATTTCCTTATCACTATAATCGTCGATATTAATTTCGTTCAAAACCTTTACCACATTACTATTATTTGATCCACAAAATCACCGTCGTTGGTTAAAAATTTGTATATATAAATCTATGTAAATTAGAGTAAAGCCTGAAGAAGATCCAACTGAAAACAGTATTGTTCGCCTATATGTCTTGTTCTAATATTATAAATGGGAATATTTAAACATTGTAAATAAGCCGCGGAATCTTTAGACATGTGCAGCGCCACTATAGTCTGCGACATGAATGCAGTGTTTCTTGACATATGGTGTCTAAAATTTATCACCCTTAACGTCTGAATCATACTGAACTGCTCTCATCACCCAGAAATCTAAACTGATGTCTAGCCCATAACCAGCCGGTTTCGTTGGTCTGGTACAAATGAGGAAGTGGGGCATTGGGTCAAAAGTGAGGAATAACAAAACACATCAAAGCCCTTATCAGTAAAAGTATCAGGAAAAGTTACTGTAGCCACAGGACAACGCTCCGGAACTCAGAATACGTACGTAATAGTCAACTTGATTTCAACGCAAGCGGTAAAAGAAGACGAACGTATGTCGAAGATTTATTGATCGACCAAGTATAAGTCAATATAGTGAGTTAATTACACAGCAGCTTGACCCTATGATTAACAGCTGGCCACTATCAATACACAAAGTCAACGAATTGCGTCAGTATAATATACACTGATACTTCTGATAGTTTTGCTCTGGTCTTCTGTCAATTAGCAAAAGTCTAAGCCCGAAACGGATTGTTGCCTCCAGCGAACAAGAAACTTGTTTAAATAAAAGGTTTACTGAACGTTCACTCTGTGTTTGCCATCACTGACAGCTCCTTGGCTCTTCTATTACCTCACGTGCCCATTTTGACCACGCTCATATAGATCTAGTCGAAAGTCTCCTAGCGTCTCATGGGTGTAGACACGCATCAACCCTCACCGGCCGTTATATTCAATGCCCCAAGATATTACCAAGAAATAGTCACACGCGATTTTGCGGTGAGGTGAGTCACAAAGTTTTTGGAGGGCAGTCCTCCATGATTCGAAAGCGAGAGTTTCAGAACAACTGCCTATCACGTTCAAGCAAATGATAGTGTAGAACATTCTCATTTAAGGACTGGGCTAGCAGCCGCAAGCAATTCACTTTGGACTGATTCACTAAGCTTACTTTTCGGCGTACGAAACATGTTAAAACCAGGTGCTGGTGACTCTGCCAACACATGGAGCAAAACTATGACTTCCAAGGCGAAGCTATTTCGACCTCCAGTTTCTTGTTAGCCATAGATCATACCACCTATGTCATCTGGCTTAGTTAAGCTAGCCACCGTCCGTCTATAAACGTTTTCCCTCAACCATGTCCAAAAACTTTTCACGTGTATTTTGTCGTGATACTGCATAACGCCCAACCTGTTGCCCGTATATTGAACCATACAAAGTCATTAAAAGCACCGAAAAAATTCTTCGTTCTAGACAAAAAAGGCCATGGAGACTGTTTTACTAGCAATCATCTGAAACCGGCCTACTTAGGGGGGAATCCGGTGAGACCTGAATCGGTTGTTACTTTAGAGGCTGACAGTATTAACGTCCACGGATAGTACGAAGTATACTAAGCATGATCTAATACCCACAACTTCTATAACATTGATTCCGCGTACACCAAAGGCGAAGCAAAACACTACAATTGACCGTTCAAATTACGAGATATATTTCGGGACCAAATCGGATGCGAAATGATTGCTTAGTTAACTAGGGATCGTGCACGAACGAACGAACGTGACACGGCAGCGTAACGAATGGCGTGTATGCTTGACCGGAAGCCTTCAGCTAAACAAGTTAACTTAAACAGTGAGGGTCAGCATCAAATGTTCAGTGATTAGTGCTATGGCCAATAATTTTGAGGAATTACTTACCGCTACATTTCCAATGACACACAGCTGAGTGAATACACACTACCCTTCGAAGAGACAAGCACTGAAAAGGCGACTGTAGCCTCTGACGAGGCTCGAAAGGCAGCAAGTTCCGCGAGGTTACCGGGGCACCTGAATACTTGTCTTTCTGGATTAGATGAAAGTGTCCCATTTTTCGAAGAAATAATGTATTGTGCTTACGGCAATTTCTTCTATGCATACAGGTTATCTTTCACTCCTTAGTGCATCAAAAATTAAATGCATTTTTTGTGACAGCATGTGTAACATGACAACTGTTTAGAAAGTTCTTCATTCCAACTTCACCAACATATTTAGGTATATGGAATGGTTGGAGGAGTTATGGCAATTATCTGGAAAATAAAAAAGCAGAACTGCTAATGTGACTGAAACTAAGAAAGCGTAGTAAAACACAGTAAGTTTTAATTTCACGATTGTGTTCATTTGTCTCTTCCTACTCAATCAACTCAGTCTCATTTCTGACTGTTTGAAGCTCAAAGGTAGTGTGAAATCTTAATTGTCCCCACGTTCAGTAAACTTCCTTACTATTTAAGAGAATATATGCCATAATGGCTCTCCACTGTGACCTGTCATTTCGATGAAAGGTAATCGTCCTGTTTTCGTAGTGAAGGCAACTATTCCTCTTCGTTTTCACATCTTCCTTGTTCTGAATGTGATCTAGTGAAGCATTTCCTTTGAAAAATCCATAAGGCAATGTAAAATAACGCAAAAACGATAATTCGAAGTCGTCAGATTTCTATATTAGTCAGTTGACTATGCCTGTATCCATTGCGAAAATGTATGTCAGTTTGTTAGGAGGGCTTCATTTTTTTGTCACATTGATTAAGCTTTTTTTTACCCATATTGATAACTTTAACCCGAAGGTCATTTTTGTCAACGGTTATCACGTTATTCGCCACACTTGTTTTGGCGCCGTGACTGTCCAGTTCACGAGAGGTTGCGGAGTTATCATGTCCCTAACATATGTTAGTCCCCTTTCTATTCAGATTATGGTTAAGGAGCTTCATTCCAGGTTCTATATCTCATGCTATCTATCTTCTGGTGTTAGTATTTTGTTGTTGGTACTTTTGGCTTTTCTCCAAAATATCACCTATAACCCACCGTGGTTTTGGGTTACAGGTACAACAGATTTTTTCAATCAATAGCCTGACCCTAGATACATTTTTTGATGTATTCTTCACGTCCAAAATCGTATGGATAATGTGCAACTGCTTGATTACCCACGCTGTCACTCACATGTTCCGATCCAGGTTATCAGGTATAGTTACTTATTGCAGTAACTCTTCAGTAACGGACCGTATCGTTTCGAGAACTTTTCAGATTTTCGGTTCATTTCTGACGTGGTGTGACCTCAAAATACTCGCCTCAAGCTCTATCCTGGGTGCTTTGAACAGTCTAGTCCTGGCGAAGATTTTGGCCGATGAAGAATATTCATCTTTTTTTGAATACAACAATTTGTAATGTCATCCTCATAATCCTTAAATGTGTTTAGCCCATCGATTAATCCGCGACTGCATATACTCACGTATTGTGGAGCGTTTATGGGTCTAGTGTTTTGTTTTACCGTTTTGATTCTCAATAAACTCACACTAAACTACTGTCATCCAGCAGTAAGTTCAAAATACTGTTATTTTTTATACAACAGGAAAGCGTATTCTCCATTGCGAAAGATCATGTGATGACACGTGTCTTCACAACTGTTGGTAGGATGCTGTACTTCATACTATTGTGTGCAATGTGCCCTAACCATATTCTTGGCTCTTCACAGAAGTGAGTAAAGTTGTTTCTAAAACAGTTTATATAAAAGTGTGTCCTTCTTTTGGATAGTTGTAGACAAACAACTACTCCTGTTAATGTTTTTGACTACCTTCCACCTGCATTTCTGTTGGAGTTGTGCGATTGACATCTTGAAATCACAGTTTTTGAAGGTAATTACATTTTCTTAATTAAACACTTTTCAGCCTGTTGACATCCCTTTGTTATCTGTTATCCAACCTTCTCATTCTGTTCAGGGGATCCTAAGTAACTCCAGTAATACAATAGAACAAGTAAGGTTACTTCCATGTAAATAACTTTGTAGCACTTGGTTTTTGAAAGATTGGCCGACCTGGTGGCTACCAGTCAATCCGTCAGATCATCCATATTTTCCCTCAGTCATATAGGTACGTCTATTATAACGTTGCTATTAACCCCAGAAGCATTTAAGGTTTACAGTCCTAATTATATTTGTTTTATGAGTGGATTCGTATCTAATAAGCAGCTAGGCTGAATACGTATATATATATATATATATATATATATATTGTTTCGTCGAGCGTACTTCTACTAAATGCGAGTTACAGATACGACTATAATTTAACACCAGCGTAAAGGTTACAAAGGATAATTGATAAGATCCTGAGAGACAATTTTGGTAATATTTAGACTGCATCATTGTCAGTCACACAGCTCTCCTCTGACTGAAACCTTTTATTTCACTGTAGGTGAGTGGGTAATTTATGGGAAATGTTTTTAACAAACTGATTCTCCTAAATACTGCGCTGAAGATGTCGTCCAGAAAGACGATGAAAGCTCCGCAATTAAACAAGGAGCTCAGAGAACACTATCAATTGCAAATCATCTACCTGAGTTACAAATCTTTTCTATTATTTCATTCATTCCATTATCAGGCGTGAGGCTAGCAACCCCACCCTGTAGACAAAAAACTTCTACAGAAAGTTCAGTACGATGAGCCTCCGTGTGACAAAAGAAAATGACTGCGGAGACATGGAACGTCCGCACTATATGTGAAAGTGGCAAAGCTGCCCAGATTGCGAACGAGATAAAAGATACGGAATTCAAGTATTGGGAATATGCGAAAGCAGGTGGAAAGGGGGTGGACTGAAAAAATTGTGGAACAGAGAGTCAGTGATCTACTCTAGTCACCCAGAAGATAATCACGAGCACAAAGAAGGTGTGGTTATCATGATGTTAACAACTGCAAGGAAGGCCTTGATACAATAGGAGGCGAACTTTCCCAGGATAATGACAGCCAGATTCAACTCAAAATGAAGTAAAGTGAAAATTATACAATGTTATGCATCCAAAAACAATGCAGACCTCGAAAAGAAAAAGAGTTCTACAGGCAACAATAGACAAAACTGAACGATCAGGACCCAAAGGACGTCTTTACTGAAATCATAAGGAAAAAGGCGGAGACACAAATCAACAGTAGCGAAGAGACCAGTGTTAAAAAATACTGGAACAACCTGAAAGCGGTATGGAGTCAAACCTGCATGGAAGTTCTAGGTAGAAATAAGAGACAGGAAAAACAGTAGCTCACTACGAACACATGGAGACTAACAGAAGAGAGAAGGACGTTGAAACAAAAGATTATCCAGTGCATCGACGAGCAACAAAAACAGGAGTTGCATGCAAGCTACAACACACTGAACAAAAGAGTAAAGAAGAGTGTCAGGGAAGACAAAGGAAAATATTATGAAGCCATGGAAAGTGAAGCAGAACAAGCTGCAGGCAAAGGAGACCTCGAAACACTCTACCAAACAACTAGGCACCTATCAAGTGAAAGTTCGACACAAATCAAGCCAGTAAAGGATGACAATGGAAAGTCAATCACCAAAGAGGTGGAGCGAAGAAAATACTGGGCTGAACACTTCAAAAGACTTCTACTACGGGGTGCACCGACAATTATACACCTCACCCAGCAGTTGTACGACAACGCTGCATGCCAAGTAATCCACAACGGGAAACTCATGGAATCCTTCGAAGTGAAGACATGTGTAAGACAAGCTGGCTACCTACCATCTGTAATGATTTTTCTGATTGTGGTGGAGTGGATAATGTAACAGACAGCGGTCAACGAGGAAACAAGTATAAAATAGACCCACACGGAAGAAGAAACTGGGTGATCTGGACTTCGACGATGATACATGTCTGATTTCCCACAAACTGGAAGATATGCAAGTGAGAAGAAACAAGTTGGCAGGAGAAGCATCAAAGATAGGACTTCCTTCAGGTGAACAAAGAGAAAACAGAGGTGATGAAGATTCCTGGCCAACAGAAACAACAGCAAATAACAATCAGTACACATGGGAGGAATCCGAAAGAAGTAACCTCCTACCTACCTGGGAAGCATTCTTTCAACTACAGGTGGGACTCACGAGGATATCATCAAAGCGAGGATTGGGAAATCAAAGCAAGCTTTCATTTCTCTCAATTCTGTGTGGAGGTCAACAGCGCCGCTCAGCATGAAAAACAAGATCCGGATTTTCAGTTCCAGTGTGAAGTCAGTGCTACTTATCATACGGATCAGAGACTTGGTGCCGCGTCACGAAGGCCACTTCGAACAAACTACACACCCTCATCAACATCTGTATTCGCTCAACACTCAAGGTCAGATGGCTGGCCAGAGAAGATCAGCGGCAGTGTGAGGGATCTCTGGCAGTCAACGAACCAACCAACCCAACAGGCAGTAACTGTGCAACAAATATGCAGGAGGAAATAGAGATGGATTAGATTGGCCATTCTCTGAGAAAACAAACCATCAAGCGAGTAACATCACACGTCAAGCTCTCTCTCTCTCGAGTGGAACTCGAATGGGAAGCGGCGATTTGGTCGTCAGTGCGAGTGACGAAGAGCACGTCATGAGAAGGGGAGGTGGAAGCATGTGGGCAGACGTGTAGCCGGGTGAACACGTTGACGAAGAACCGAGCGCAGTGGAGACGTTCAGCTAAAGCTCTATGTTCCTCTAGGAATTAAAGGAAACAGTAACCGTTAATAAGTCCTTCAGTCATCTGGGAGCGAAGTACATAAATTGTTTTATTGCAACCTTGCATTTGTTGTGCCGTTTTATAAACGTGTTCGTCTATTTGTTCATCAGTCACCTAGTCAACACCTTTACGCTTGAATTTTACCAGATAATAATGAATAATTTGACATTTTTTGTTTTTGTTGATTAGGTGGTCGGCCTGTAGTATGGAAACAAATAAGCAACTTATGTATCCACTTAATTGATCAGTTTGTGACGAACGTTCAAATGGCAAATAATTGTGGGATTAACAACTTGGGTACACGTGAGTTTGACTAATTGATAACATTTTTACAATATGCTTAGCCATTAGTAGTCTACAAAGGATGGGTGGATTAAAATGAAAATTTTTGAAAAAAATAATACATTTAAACAGTTTTCCGTCAGACTGACAAACAAATTCATCATGTATGTCTCAAAATTTTTTCATCAGTCAACCAACATGTAGTCAATGGAGCTTTGACGGGAATCACGGACGAATTCACTCCTTGGCTATAAAATATAAGCGCCCGCAGACCGACGCTGCAAAATCACCTTTAACATTTGACAGATTCTAAACTCAGTACGCATGCCAAGAAATTCTGCTCAGATTGAATCCTTAGTGGCTTTATTATCATCGTAGTGAAACATGGTTTCAGTGCACTATTTACATCTCACCGAGTTCCCTGAAGTATCTTTTAGTTGGCTTTATGATTCCTCCTAACCTCTCATTCCTTCCTAACATAATCTCCACATCACGTCGGAAGCCCAACACGTCGTTTCCTATTTGGGTTCGACGCCGATGACCTCCTCTGCAAATGTCTCATGCATCTTCATGACCTGTATATTCTTGGTTGACTCGGTGCTATAATTCCTTGCTACTATTCCTTTCTAGTCATCTGATCTTCAGTGGAAAGCAAAGATGGCTGTTTATCTAATTGAATTTTAGATTTTCCCGTCGATGGATTGGACCGAAGTACTCAGTCTCAGGTTGACATGTCGACTTCTTGTGCAGATGCTTCGACAGTGTCTAAGCATGTAATTAGAAGTTAATTGGTGGATAGTGACTAACAGTGGAATCCAGAATGCGCATTTCGTCCTATTTGGGACTCGTCATCTGGATGTACATGCACTCCCCAGTGAGTGATGATTTCCCACCGAGGCTCGAACACAGTGCCCATAGTTTCAAACACCATAGCGTTATCCATTAAACCATTTGGACCAATCAATAGGACCCATTGCACAAGAGGTGGCGTTTGAAACCATGGGCACTCGGTTCGAGCTTTGGCAGGAAATCATCACTCACTGGAGAGTGCAAGTACATCCAGGTGACGAATCCCGAACAGGACGAAGTTCGTATTTTGGATTCCACTGCTGGTCACCATCCGCTAATTAAAGATGGCTGTTGATGAAAGCCCTCAACAGACTGTTAGAAATGCTTTTGGTGAATCTGGTACTAAGTGTGTCCGAACCATGTAGTAGACACAATAACTGATTTCACATCAGTGTTAAAAATTCAAATCTTTTTCCTCATTTAAGTGCGGCAGATTTTCACACTGATTTAAAAGTAATCATCAAGGTGTGTCTTCCATTTGCCATCCTCATCTGTGCCTGCTGTGGTTTAAAGGATGCTCTTTTCGTCAGTGAAAGATAGTGGTACTTGTTGATAGTTAGGTGTTTTCATCACCCTTGTCTTCTCTGTGTCTACTAGAATGAAGTCCAGTCTTTTCTGCTTCTGACGGTTTGTTGGCTGTCGCCTATAGATCTTCGAATTTACGTGGCAAAGTTCAGATCTTCCCCGAGTCTTCTGATCAGTCCAGCGTATTTCTGGCTTCCATCCACAGTCTGTTGCATGATCCACTTCACCATAAATGATATGATCGATGATAGTAGGCAACCTTGTCTTACTCCTACCTCCATTTTTCAAAGGCTCTACTGAAAGTCCCGTAGTGAGTCACTTGACATGTAGCATCACAGTATTTAGCTGTTGAATGAGGTTGGTAATAGTCTGATGTACTTTGTGTGTTGTTAGTTTGACCTTTCATCTTTGCGATGGGTGTTTTACCTTCCTTTTAAACTTTTGCAGTAATGACGTAGTGATATCCTCCGAGATCTCAGTCCGTTTTCCTTGCTTCCGGCTGTCTTTCAGCATTGTTTTGGCACTCAAGACTTTCGCTTTCGTCGAAACATTGGTGTTTATTGATTGTACTGTGCGCGTTGTTGGTGATTTTTCTGCACGAGTTTTAGGCGGTATTCGTTTCAAGAGTCTTTTGGCGTATTTACAAAACGTGAATACGTCTCTTATGTACTTCAAATCAATCATGGACCCTCTGCGCAATAATCTATATAGTAATGCAATTCTCTGATGGATACCGCTGATTGACATCTTAGATGTAGCCCTCCATAAATAGTTGTACAAACTAAAGTAAGTAACTGTTAATACAGGATAAATCCACGCCACTTTCATTAGAAGAAATTGTCGATCGAGTTATTTGTTTGCTTTAGATCGTTATGCTCGTATTGGCGAATTTAAACGAATAGAAAGACTTAACGGTTCAACTGCGTCCAATGGTGAGGTCTCTGGTTGTTTCGGTGTGTTAGTGTGCCGAATATACTCAATTGTATGTGATGTCACTCTAACTAAGCCTTTTTATCTTCAAAATATCTAGATAAAGTTGGCATATTAAGCTACTATGAAATGAATGCTACTCAACAATGACGAAATCTGTTTACCCAATATAATTACCGAGAGGGGTTTCGTCCTCATATATATGTTATAGTGCTATAAACGTGTTATTTGAAAGTAATTATTGGTAGATTATACTTAAAGAAGTATTATGCTCATACATACTTTCCCTGTACACATTTCTAGCTCTCTGGCCCAAAAGTATGGATATTAAATACAAACAACACCTGCCATCATCGTTCAAGGCACAAATACGTCAACGCAACATAACTACAACGAAAGCCTCCGTGACTACTGATAAATCATGGCCTAATCCCCAACCAAATGGCTCTATAATCCTTCAAAACTTCATAAATGCTGGACGCACACTGTTTTCAAAAGTAAGTTGGTTGGTATGCAGCCTGAATATTTGCTGTACTGACAGTTTCCAAACGCTGGATTAGGTCTTCTCATGATTATCAATTCCTGATAGAGGTTACCAAACACTTATTGTGATATATTCTAGAGTGTGTAGTGCTAGCCATCAACAACTGCTTGACAGTCAAACGTAGTTTTAAATTTCGATAAAAAAAACGAAAGACGTATATGAAATTATTTCATCATTTTATTTCACAGTTTCTTATCAGTTGCAAGCTACCTGAATCTATAATGGTTATATAAACGTGATGATAACATAATCCAATGTTTGAATGGGTAATAGAGAAGATATTATAGAAGGTTAACGCATCCAAAATGTAAGCATTACACTAATTTTGGTTTGAGTTGCCATCAATTTATATGCTTTTAAAATAGAAAACCAGTGGGGAGACAACAATACAGAAAACAGAAAAATCCATCGTACAGTGTCAGGTCATAGTTTATAAGATTGGAAACTTGCTCAGTGATCTGAAGTCACTAATACGAATGACAAACCCGTGTTGTCAAAATGGAGTTACCAGGACAGTGAGCGATTGTTGATCACATTCTCTTTCTGTATGCATAAGTTAAGTTTTAAAGGTGTGATTGCAATTGCTTCAGCAAATTTTCTGTCATTTGTATATTTAATATTTTTTGAAGCATTTAAAAATCTCGATGAAACTAGCCGTATCCACAAGGTGTGCCTGGTAATTGCACTTTGCGAATATCTGCATCCTTTTAGGCATAAGTTTGTTCTTTGTGCTCAGAAAAGCTGGCTGACTGGTTTCAACATACAACTTTGCTCCGATGTGCACCAGTTCAAGTCGCCACACTCCACTCCTTGTAGCACACAAAGTAACAGAAGGAACTAGAAGAAATGCATAATAGAGACAGTAAACAGAGGTGTGAGATGAAGGAATGGTAATAACGAAGAACAATATAGTTTCATTGGAAATCATAATTCATAAGGAGTGGATGCATCTGCACTATTGAGAACGATCACTTTGAGCCATATCACTAATTGTCTCCAGCCATTGGTTTTTACCGTCCGAAAACCCCAACCAGTCAGGAAGTCTACACCTTCCTACGTGGCTGACTTCAACTAACTGTTGTGGATTTCATTGAGTGATGAGGCCTTGTTTTGATTTGACCACTTTTCCAACCTGACCCTATGTCAGCTAACATTGCCCGTAGTCGAAGAAGGCAATGGATAGCTAGGCAGACGTCCTAACCATCTCGAAACAATTGCACAAGTCATACGGTTATGTCTTACAGTTTCTTCTACAAAAGCGTTTTTTGTATAACAACTGAGTTTGCTTCAAAGTTGTATCCCCGTAGAAACAGCTTTTGTATAACGCAGACATTTTCAGGGTAGTCAAATCAAAGCATGACATCAGTCCATGAAATCTTTGACCATTGATTCAACATGTGAACTTCGTTGGCAGCTGGGGTCCTCGAAACACTGAAAGCTAATGACTGGAGACTGTTGGTGATACAGCCCAAAGTCATGGCTGTATTCGCTCTCTGTTGTATCCCAGATCCATTAAATTCTCATCATTTCGCACATAATTATTATTCCTCCTTCACATATCCGTTCATTTTAGTATCTCTAATTTTCCCCCTCTACCTCATGTGTTATATCTAGTTTTGTAACTAGAACTTCTGTGCTTTTGTGCAAAGTTCTGCGTTGATTAAGACTCGGTCAGTGGGTTCTTAATTTATGATGAGAATTCTCTAAAGAAAATCTGTGTAAACCGGCGTCAATCATATTAGTGCAGTTATTTTTGTCATCATTTTGCAACTATGAATAACCTTTAGCGTTATCTTCATCCATTCATTTCCGTACTATTTTGCTCTCCTAATCTGTAAACCCCATAGCATTTGGAACTGACATTTGCCCGTAATACAGAACTTTCACAGGCCAGACAATTATAAGACATCTAAACGACAAATTTTATAACAATTATTGCATACTCTTCAAGAATTGCTTTTCGTTGCAACCTAGACGCCAGTTGAAGGCAGTTGTACTAAACATGAACCACAATTATTGATCGGTGGTTGGTAGTCATACTGCTTGATTCCAACAACTTCGATGAGGATGGGACTCATTTTTAACCTGTGTAACTAAAGGCAATTATTATTATTTTTATTATTATTCCCTTGAGCTCCTAATGGAACAAAGGGCTTCACCAACACATCTCTATTTTCTCCTATCTTCTCCGTTCTCTTCAGCCTCGACCACGATTGTCCACAATCTCTCATCTCCTACTCACACGATCTCCTCCATGTCACCCTCACACCGACGACCCACTCGTCGCTTCCCACTGGGATTCAACTTGAGCTATGACCTTCATTGTGCGCGATGTCATTCGACGGCCTCCTCAATGTATACCTGATCCACTTCCATTTTCTACTACATATTTGTTGAGTGATCGCCTCTTGGTTGGCTTGTTCCCAGAGTTTCTTTTTCCCAGTTCTTTCAGGCCATTTGATCTCCTGTATTGAGCCGGCCAGGGAAGTTGGCCACTGTTGATGAAAGTCTGCAACAATCTTTTGGAAATCCTTTTCTTGATACGCAAGCTCAGTGCAAGTTTCTGACTCATATAGAAGGGCCGACTTGACATTGGTGTTGAAAATGCGAATCTTGTTCTTCATGTTGAGTGCAGAAGATTTCAAACTTGTTTCAAATTGATGAAGGTGTATCTTGCCTTTCCGATTCTGGCTGGCTGGCTGGCTTTGACATCTTCATCCATGCAGGTTGAAAAAGAGTAAGTGGTAGCCAGACAAAGACATGACATGAATCCGTGAAATCCTTGACATTTAAACTGAGTCAGGTAGGGAGATGCAGACTTCCGCGTTGGGGCTCTCAGGACTCTAAGAATCAATGGCTGGAGACAATGTCTCTGTCTGTCTGTCTGTCTGGATTCAACATAGAACTTGGCACCGAGGTGCAGTAGCTCGAGTTGCCACCTTCCTTATAGCACACAGAGGTAGACAAGAAGATGAGTGAAGAGAATCAATGGAGTTTGACAAGTATAAGAGTGAAACAGAATGGGTAATGGTAGATAGGAATCTTTTGGAAATCCTTTTCTTGATACGCAAGCTCAGTGCAAGTTTCTGACTCATATAGAAGGGCCGACTTGACATTGGTGTTGAAAATGCGAATCTTGTTCTTCATGTTGAGTGCAGAAGATTTCCAAACTTGTTTCAAATTGATGAAGGTGTATCTTGCCTTTCCGATTCTGGCTGGCTGGCTGGCTTTGACATCTTCATCCATGCAGGTTGAAAAAGAGTAAGTGGTAGCCAGACAAAGACATGACATGAATCCGTGAAATCCTTGACATTTAAACTGAGTCAGGTAGGGAGATGCAGACTTCCGCGTTGGGGCTCTCAGGACTCTAAGAATCAATGGCTGGAGACAATGTCTCTGTCTGTCTGTCTGTCTGTCTGGATTCAACATAGAACTTGGCACCGAGGTGCAGTAGCTCGAGTTGCCACCTTCCTTATAGCACACAGAGGTAGACAAGAAGATGAGTGAAGAGAATCAATGGAGTTTGACAAGTATAAGAGTGAAACAGAATGGGTAATGGTAGATAGGAATCTTTTGGAAATCCTTTTCTTGATACGCAAGCTCAGTGCAAGTTTCTGACTCATATAGAAGGGCCGACTTGACATTGGTGTTGAAAATGCGAATCTTGTTCTTCATGTTGAGTGCAGAAGATTTCCAAACTTGTTTCAAATTGATGAAGGTGTATCTTGCCTTTCCGATTCTGGCTGGCTGGCTGGCTTTGACATCTTCATCCATGCAGGTTGAAAAAGAGTAAGTGGTAGCCAGACAAAGACATGACATGAATCCGTGAAATCCTTGACATTTAAACTGAGTCAGGTAGGGAGATGCAGACTTCCGCGTTGGGGCTCTCAGGACTCTAAGAATCAATGGCTGGAGACAATGTCTCTGTCTGTCTGTCTGTCTGTCTGGATTCAACATAGAACTTGGCACCGAGGTGCAGTAGCTCGAGTTGCCACCTTCCTTATAGCACACAGAGGTAGACAAGAAGATGAGTGAAGAGAATCAATGGAGTTTGACAAGTATAAGAGTGAAACAGAATGGGTAATGGTAGATAGGAATCTTTTGGAAATCCTTTTCTTGATACGCAAGCTCAGTGCAAGTTTCTGACTCATATAGAAGGGCCGACTTGACATTGGTGTTGAAAATGCGAATCTTGTTCTTCATGTTGAGTGCAGAAGATTTCCAAACTTGTTTCAAATTGATGAAGGTGTATCTTGCCTTTCCGATTCTGGCTGGCTGGCTGGCTTTGACATCTTCATCCATGCAGGTTGAAAAAGAGTAAGTGGTAGCCAGACAAAGACATGACATGAATCCGTGAAATCCTTGACATTTAAACTGAGTCAGGTAGGGAGATGCAGACTTCCGCGTTGGGGCTCTCAGGACTCTAAGAATCAATGGCTGGAGACAATGTCTCTGTCTGTCTGTCTGTCTGGATTCAACATAGAACTTGGCACCGAGGTGCAGTAGCTCGAGTTGCCACCTTCCTTATAGCACACAGAGGTAGACAAGAAGATGAGTGAAGAGAATCAATAGAGTTTGACAAGTATGAGAGTGAAACAGAATGGGTAATGGTAGATAGGAATCTTTTGGAAATCCTTTTCTTGATACGCAAGCTCAGTGCAAGTTTCTGACTCATATAGAAGGGCCGACTTGACATTGGTGTTGAAAATGCGAATCTTGTTCTTCATGTTGAGTGCAGAAGATTTCCAAACTTGTTTCAAATTGATGAAGGTGTATCTTGCCTTTCCGATTCTGGCTGGCTGGCTGGCTTTGACATCTTCATCCATGCAGGTTGAAAAAGAGTAAGTGGTAGCCAGACAAAGACATGACATGAATCCGTGAAATCCTTGACATTTAAACTGAGTCAGGTAGGGAGATGCAGACTTCCGCGTTGGGGCTCTCAGGACTCTAAGAATCAATGGCTGGAGACAATGTCTCTGTCTGTCTGTCTGTCTGTCTGGATTCAACATAGAACTTGGCACCGAGGTGCAGTAGCTCGAGTTGCCACCTTCCTTATAGCACACAGAGGTAGACAAGAAGATGAGTGAAGAGAATCAATGGAGTTTGACAAGTATAAGAGTGAAACAGAATGGGTAATGGTAGATAGGAATCTTTTGGAAATCCTTTTCTTGATACGCAAGCTCAGTGCAAGTTTCTGACTCATATAGAAGGGCCGACTTGACATTGGTGTTGAAAATGCGAATCTTGTTCTTCATGTTGAGTGCAGAAGATTTCCAAACTTGTTTCAAATTGATGAAGGTGTATCTTGCCTTTCCGATTCTGGCTGGCTGGCTGGCTTTGACATCTTCATCCATGCAGGTTGAAAAAGAGTAAGTGGTTGACAGACAAAGACATGACATGAATCCGTGAAATCCTTGACATTTAAACTGAGTCAGGTAGGGAGATGCAGACTTCCGCGTTGGGGCTCTCAGGACTCTAAGAATCAATGGCTGGAGACAATGTCTCTGTCTGTCTGTCTGTCTGGATTCAACATAGAACTTGGCACCGAGGTGCAGTAGCTCGAGTTGCCACCTTCCTTATAGCACACAGAGGTAGACAAGAAGATGAGTGAAGAGAATCAATAGAGTTTGACAAGTATGAGAGTGAAACAGAATGGGTAATGGTAGATAGGAATCTTTTGGAAATCCTTTTCTTGATACGCAAGCTCAGTGCAAGTTTCTGACTCATATAGAAGGGCCGACTTGACATTGGTGTTGAAAATGCGAATCTTGTTCTTCATGTTGAGTGCAGAAGATTTCCAAACTTGTTTCAAATTGATGAAGGTGTATCTTGCCTTTCCGATTCTGGCTGGCTGGCTGGCTTTGACATCTTCATCCATGCAGGTTGAAAAAGAGTAAGTGGTAGCCAGACAAAGACATGACATGAATCCGTGAAATCCTTGACATTTAAACTGAGTCAGGTAGGGAGATGCAGACTTCCGCGTTGGGGCTCTCAGGACTCTAAGAATCAATGGCTGGAGACAATGTCTCTGTCTGTCTGTCTGTCTGGATTCAACATAGAACTTGGCACCGAGGTGCAGTAGCTCGAGTTGCCACCTTCCTTATAGCACACAGAGGTAGACAAGAAGATGAGTGAAGAGAATCAATAGAGTTTGACAAGTATAAGAGTGAAACAGAATGGGTAATGGTAGATAGGAATCTTTTGGAAATCCTTTTCTTGATACGCAAGCTCAGTGCAAGTTTCTGACTCATATAGAAGGGCCGACTTGACATTGGTGTTGAAAATGCGAATCTTGTTCTTCATGTTGAGTGCAGAAGATTTCCAAACTTGTTTCAAATTGATGAAGGTGTATCTTGCCTTTCCGATTCTGGCTGGCTGGCTGGCTTTGACATCTTCATCCATGCAGGTTGAAAAAGAGTAAGTGGTAGCCAGACAAAGACATGACATGAATCCGTGAAATCCTTGACATTTAATCTGAGTCAGGTAGGGAGATGCAGACTTCCGCGTTGGGGCTCTCAGGACTCTAAGAATCAATGGCTGGAGACAATGTCTCTGTCTGTCTGTCTGTCTGTCTGGATTCAACATAGAACTTGGCACCGAGGTGCAGTAGCTCGAGTTGCCACCTTCCTTATAGCACACAGAGGTAGACAAGAAGATGAGTGAAGAGAATCAATAGAGTTTGACAAGTATAAGAGTGAAACAGAATGGGTAATGGTAGATAGGAATCTTTTGGAAATCCTTTTCTTGATACGCAAGCTCAGTGCAAGTTTCTGACTCATATAGAAGGGCCGACTTGACATTGGTGTTGAAAATGCGAATCTTGTTCTTCATGTTGAGTGCAGAAGATTTCCAAACTTGTTTCAAATTGATGAAGGTGTATCTTGCCTTTCCGATTCTGGCTGGCTGGCTGGCTTTGACATCTTCATCCATGCAGGTTGAAAAAGAGTAAGTGGTAGCCAGACAAAGACATGACATGAATCCGTGAAATCCTTGACATTTAAACTGAGTCAGGTAGGGAGATGCAGACTTCCGCGTTGGGGCTCTCAGGACTCTAAGAATCAATGGCTGGAGACAATGTCTCTGTCTGTCTGTCTGTCTGGATTCAACATGGAACTTGGCACCGAGGTGCAGTAGCTCGAGTTGCCACCTTCCTTATAGCACACAGAGGTAGACAAGAAGATGAGTGAAGAGAATCAATAGAGTTTGACAAGTATAAGAGTGAAACAGAATGGGTAATGGTAGATAGGAATCTTTTGGAAATCCTTTTCTTGATACGCAAGCTCAGTGCAAGTTTCTGACTCATATAGAAGGGCCGACTTGACATTGGTGTTGAAAATGCGAATCTTGTTCTTCATGTTGAGTGCAGAAGATTTCCAAACTTGTTTCAAATTGATGAAGGTGTATCTTGCCTTTCCGATTCTGGCTGGCTGGCTGGCTTTGACATCTTCATCCATGCAGGTTGAAAAAGAGTAAGTGGTAGCCAGACAAAGACATGACATGAATCCGTGAAATCCTTGACATTTAAACTGAGTCAGGTAGGGAGATGCAGACTTCCGCGTTGGGGCTCTCAGGACTCTAAGAATCAATGGCTGGAGACAATGTCTCTGTCTGTCTGTCTGTCTGTCTGGATTCAACATAGAACTTGGCACCGAGGTGCAGTAGCTCGAGTTGCCACCTTCCTTATAGCACACAGAGGTAGACAAGAAGATGAGTGAAGAGAATCAATAGAGTTTGACAAGTATAAGAGTGAAACAGAATGGGTAATGGTAGAAAGGAATATGAAAGATTACAGAGACTGAATACATCTGCGCCATTGACAACGATTTTGAGCCATGTCACCTATTGTCTCCAGCCATTGATTCCTAGAGTCCCGAGGGCCCCAACCCGGGAGTCTGCATCTCCCTACCTGACTCAGTTTAACTGTCAAGGATTTCATGGATTGATGACCATGTTTTTGTTTGGCCACCACTGGCTCTTTTCCAACCTGAACCTATATCAGCTAGCAATGCCCGTCGGGGGAGGCGGTGGTTAGGCATGCGCAGTACGTGACCTAGCCATCTTAGTCTATGTAACTTTATAGCCTCGTCGATTGATTTTCCCTCTTTGCCCAACACTCTACGCCTAACGTCAACATTACTTATCTTGTGAAACCACCTAACGTGAGACAGAGATCGCAGACATCTATGATCGAAAGCAGTCAACCTTTTCATGTCTTCAACGCGTATTGGCCATGTTTCAGAGCCATAGAGAAGGACGGAGCGAACTGATGAGCAGTACACACGTCCCTTGGTTGATAACCGGATGTCACGCCTACGCCAGAGATGGTGTAAGTCAGCGAAAGCAGCTCGAGCTTTTCGGATCCGTGCTGAGATTTCATCGCCAATCAGTCCGTTGGTGCTAATACAACTTCCCAAGTAGGTGAAGTGGTCAACATGTTCTATCACTTCACTCCCTATCACTAAGTTAGGGATTGACGTCGTCCAGTCCTGTAGCAGCATCTTACATTTTGCAGGGGCGAATCGCATGCCAAACATACGGAGATTGCTGCTCAAGGTGTTCAGAAGACTCTGCATTTTGTCAGCATCCTCCCCTAACAGGACTATGTCATCTGCATATTCTAAGTCCATTAGATTATTCCCTGGTAACAAGTCGATTCCTAAGTCACTACGTTCAGTTAAGGATACTTCCATTAGCATATCTATGATGAAGTTAAACAGAAATGGGGAAAGTGGACATCCCTGTCGGACACCACTGGTTGTTACCAATTCAGATGACAATTCCCCATAAGCCCTTACACGACTACGTGAGTTTGAATAGAGTTCCTTGATTAGTGCAATGTACTTTCTTGGCACTCCCTTCACAGTCAGACATTGCCATAGTACCTTTCGATCCACGGAGTCGAAGGCCGCCTTCAAGTCAAGAAATATGACAATTGTTGGACGCCGAAAAGTGTGTCTATGTTCTAGAATCTGTCGAAGAGTGAAGGTATGATCTGCTGGAGACAATAGGTGACATGGCTCAAAATCGTTGTCAATGGCGCAGATGTATTCAATCTCTGTAATCTTTCATATTCCTATCTACCATTACCCATTCTGTTTCACTCTTATACTTGTCAAACTCTATTGATTCTCTTCACTCATCTTCTTGTCTACCTCTGTGTGCTATAAGGAAGGTGGCAACTCGAGCTACTGCACTTCGGTGCCAAGTTCTATGTTGAATCCAGACAGACAGACCCACTCTCATTCTGGCTTTCATCTAGAGTAGCTGGTGACCTTTTTCGCGAAGGCGTTGTTTCACCAGCCTCTGTGTCATTTCGCCTCTCCGATTCCAGCTAAGAATAAGATTGTTTTTCACAAATTTTATATTTTTAACATATTTTCTGGGTATTGATGTTTCTCTTGTAGTTTGATAGGTTTAGCGGTGTAGGGTTTCTAGCCACACGCCCAGCACTCCCCCTTTACCCGGGTTTGAGATTGGCCAAAAACTAGCAAGCTAGTTAACTAGGTGAGGTTAGTTAAAAACAATTACTAGTTTATAATGTCTAGTTCATTCCTTTGTGTATATTGATTTCTCTGTCTTAACAGTTATCCCTTTGAACTAGATTACTAAAATCATGTAGTGTACGGGGAATAGGTTTGTCTTGGCTTATGTTTCTGATCAGTCAATCGAATTTTACCTTCCTCTTGAAGAAAATAATAAAATACATCTGGAAATCTTACCCGTCGTGTCATCACATTCACATATTCTTAGTCCTGTTGACTTGTTATGTATGCTTATAGTTAGACTGAAATGCTAAATGTGTAATATCCAACCTCTAATTATTATGATCACCAGGTGTGTCCATGGATTCTTCAAACACCAGTTGTCAGTGTATTGTCATCAGAAATTGCTTATGCATCGACAGCTCATCTCTTTGCGACTGCAACAGATATCGATTATGCAAATAGCACAAATCCCAGTCAACTAACAGTACAAACAAGTGGTCAAATTATTATATGGGCAACAGAAGTTTTAGCCTGTTTAACATTATCTGCATATACTGAGGATCCATTTGGTACAGTTCAGCAGTCTTTGGGACAGATTCTGTTACTATTCGCTGATGCATTAGAGGTATGTTTTTGTCCAATTCTTATTATTGTTGTTAATAAATAAATCCTACCGTTGTCATCACCAAGATATCCATTACCCAAAATAATGTTGCAGTGCTATAATAAAAAGATAAAAGAGGGAGTTATGATAAAATAACACAGCTAACTCTTTCCATTAACAGACGACATAAGGAGGACTAGCGCATAATAGAGGGGGGGGTGTCAAAAGCTGTTAAGATAATATTCGCACATTAGAGGTACCGAAATCGGCCTTCTGAAATAGCAACACTTATTGACTTACCTTTTTCGTCGCAAGTGAACTCATCCCCCTCCCCCACTTAGTCACAAGGGTGTTTCCACTGAATATGGGTAATCTTATGGAAACAGCAATGAATTCAACACAATTAACCGACTTTTTTAAACTTAGAAACAGTGGATTTCACAGGTATGTGAATTGACTGATAGTAGTAGTATAGTGATGGCAGGTTGTGTCAGAAGTTGCTACTGGATAGAATTCGACTCTAATCTATACAAAGCTAGAAGAAAAAAAGACGACCTCCACTGTGTGATCTAAAGTGAGTCTTCTGATAACAGTCATACAAATTTCTAAAACAATTAGTCCCCTTTATGAATTTAGGCTTTTTATGCAGCTAATATCATAATAGTTGAGCATGTGAAGCCAATATATCCATCTTAGCCCTTTGAACATGCGAAAAATGATGTCACATCCCACTGTATTTACCAATTTGAATGTTCGTTTGAACACACATACATACTTGGGGAAGACTCATCGATCTCTGTGAGTAAGGGGTGGCTTCAAAACATATTCCTAAATGGCTCCAGAAGCAAATAGAATCTTCAGAACCCATTAATGGTGGGGACAGGAGACCTAGCTCGTCTATTACGAAACATAGTATTTAGACAGGACATAAAATTGACGTTAACAGATCTATCTATAAAACGTGTTTCGGGCGTGTCCTAAAGTTTGTGGTAGCCCTAGCAATTATAAAGTTTAAATCACCTCTATGCGTTCAAAAACAACTGATCATCACACTAAACTTTCTTTGGTAAACTTTGTTTTGATACCAGTCAGCGTAGATGTACTATTACCTCTGTTATTTGGTTTAGTGGTCTTCATTGTTATTTTGACCTTGTATATGTCCTGTAGGTATGACCTAGGTCTATTTTCTGACGTCTTAACACTATTAATTTCATATATATTCCTATGACAAGTCTGTGTGTGATCAGGTTGTTCGAAATGTGTTGCGCAAATACATTACACGATTCAAACAAATTACGTTTTCCTATTGCTTTATGTAAAAGTAAAATTAAATAGAAGTGGTGACATCAGCTGACATCAGGTAGAGAGCCATTGGAAACCTGCACAAAAGGAAACTTACTAAAAGTCTCTGCAAGGACCGTGAACAGTGGTGGGTGACAAAGGCAAAAGAGATGGAAAAAGCATTGGCGATAGGCAACACTAGGCAACTCTTTAGACTCATCACAGAATCGGGTGGGAGAAGGCAATTCATAAGTGAGACTATTTCTGAGAAAAATGGCTCCTTAATTAGCTCTCAGGATAGACGCCTTGAACGCTGGAAAGAACACTTTGAGGAACAATTTAACTTGCCTACAGCCACACTGAACCTCCCCGCCATCCACCACGTACCCGAATGGGATATAGACACTGGTCCGCCGTCTGTAGGTGAGGTTACAAAAGCTATCAGTAATTTGAAACGAGGCAAAGCGGCAGGACCCGACGGAATTATTCCGGAGGTGTTTAAATATGGGGGTGACATACTAGTTTGTAGATTAACTGAGGTACTAGGCAAAGTCTGGGAATCAGAGACAGTCCATCAGACTGGGGTAAGTCACTTATTATACCGATATTCAAGAAGGGAAACAAGTCCTCGTGTGATAATCATAGGGGGATCAGCCTAACGAACATAGTCTCTAAAATCCTAGGCTCAGTAATCATGCATAGACTAAGCAGAACTCGGGAGGAACAGACAAGGGAAAATCAAGCAGGCTTTAGACCAGGTAGAGGGTGCATAGATCATATCTTCACTCTTCGACAGATTCTAGAACATAGACACACTTTTCGGCGTCCAACAATTGTCATATTTCTTGACTTGAAGGCGGCCTTCGACTCCGTGGATCGAAAGGTACTATGGCAATGTCTGACTGTGAAGGGAGTGCCAAGAAAGTACATTGCACTAATCAAGGCACTCTATTCAAACTCACGTAGTCGTGTAAGGGCTTATGGGGAATTGTCATCTGAATTGGTAACAACCAGTGGTGTCCGACAGGGATGTCCACTTTCCCCATTTCTGTTTAACTTCATCATAGATATGCTAATGGAAGTATCCTTAACTGAACGTAGTGACTTAGGAATCGACTTGTTACCAGGGAATAATCTAATGGACTTAGAATATGCAGATGACATAGTCCTGTTAGGGGAGGATGCTGACAAAATGCAGAGTCTTCTGAACACCTTGAGCAGCAATCTTCGTATGTTTGGCATGCGATTCGCCCCTGCAAAATGTAAGATGCTGCTACAGGACTGGACGACGTCAACCCCTAACTTAGTGATAGGGAGTGAAGTGATAGAACATGTTGACCACTTCACCTACTTGGGAAGTTGTATTAGCACCAACGGACTGATTGGCGATGAAATCTCAGCACGGATCCGAAAAGCTCGAGCTGCTTTCGCTGACTTACACCATCTCTGGCGTAGGCGTGACATCCGGTTATCAACCAAGGGACGTGTGTACTGCTCATCAGTTCGCTCCGTCCTTCTCTATGGCTCTGAAACATGGCCAATACGCGTTGAAGACATGAAAAGGTTGACTGCTTTCGATCATAGATGTCTGCGATCTCTGTCTCACGTTAGGTGGTTTCACAAGATAAGTAATGTTGACGTTAGGCGTAGAGTGTTGGGCAAAGAGGGAAAATCAATCGACGAGGCTATAAAGTTACATAGACTAAGATGGCTAGGTCACGTGCTGCGCATGCCTAACCACCGCCTCCCCCGACGGGCATTGCTAGCTGATATAGGTTCAGGTTGGAAAAGAGCCAGTGGTGGCCAAACAAAAACATGGCATCAATCCATGAAATCCTTGACAGTTAAACTGAGTCAGGTAGGGAGATGCAGACTCCCGGGTTGGGGCCCTCGGGACTCTAGGAATCAATGGCTGGAGACAATAGGTGACATGGCTCAAAATCGTTGTCAATGGCGCAGATGTATTCAGTCTCTGTAATCTTTCATATTCCTTTCTACCATTACCCATTCTGTTTCACTCTTATACTTGTCAAACTCTATTGATTCTCTTCACTCATCTTCTTGTCTACCTCTGTGTGCTATTTGGAACGTGGCAACTCGAACTGCTGCACTTCGGTGCCAAGTTCTATGTTGAATCCAGGCAGACATACAGGAAAACCTGGGAGTACTGATAGCTGTATCGTCCTAGTTTTGTACTGTCATCAGTGGCACCCATATATGTAATTTCGTTTTTATCTAGACCTTTGGAGAATAAGCAGATATCCTTCATCCACCCGATAACGTTTTACTCTAAGTAAATCGCCTACTCAATTCGATAAGGCTAACAACTACCGTGTGCATTAATATATGTATAACGAAGAAGGTACTGTTATAGCTGAAACTGTGAAAGGCTGTTAATTCAAGATTACTTCTTTCTTTTTAAGCATGAAGTTTGGTCTGTTGAACACCATTCAGATGCTGCAGTGTGTTGCATTGAACACTGGTAACAGGCGCAAATTCATCTGTTGTTCGTTTTTCCTGTGTGTTTCTTTCTTATCCTTGAGTTCGACTGTGAGCACATATTCTTCAATAAGGAGTAATATTCTCTCTTATCTGATAATAGGTACTTTTGTTAAGTATTCAATAACTGGTTCTTGATAAAAAAAAGTTAGTTTGATTTCGCTACAGTGAATGCTTTTATGTGTTATTTTTATGACAGTGTCAAAACAGTACAATTTGATCATAGTGAAAATGCAACACACTTTTCTTGTGACCGTATCAGTAGTTCGGTGGTGGAACTATGCGCGTGGTCTCCTATATTACTATCCTTTTTGCCTCTCTGTTTTAATCTTTTTCTACTCTCTTGCTTTGCGTGCTACAAGGAGGGAGTGTGGCAACTAGAACTGTTGCACATCTGTGCAAAGGTCTACGTCGAAACCAGTAGTTCATTCAGACACGTGGTGTGGAGTTAGATTCCCCGCCCCCCCTCAATGCATTCCGATACCTCACTTAGCCGGTCGTAGTATTCCTGGAGAATAAAGGAGAGATTTCTGCGTGAGGTTGGCATCCTCAATCCCCAGTAATAACAACAGGACTACTGCTTGTGACTAGTAGTCGCCACAGTGGAAAAAACAATCCTCGTTTCTCATCCCCAAGTGTATATACATACATGTAATCTGATGTATTGATGAAATCACTCATGTAGGTAAACGGTCCCCTATTCATTCAGTCGTCCATGAAATAGTTCTGAAAACAGAGGGTCATCATAATATAACATTGTATACGCTTTTGACACAGTGCTCTCTTAAAGTGTCTAATTTTTCTTCTAATCCATCTTATGTGTCAAGATGTTTGTTCGTCTTGTTTTGATACTTTCTAAATATTTATGCAGACGTCATTGATATAGTGAAATGTTTTCTTTTTTGCTTCTTTTTCTGTATTTCTCAAGGCTGTTGAAAAGCACTTAAAGTTGGTCGGTTTAATAATCAATCAGTATAAACAAATGATGAATGGTTCAGTTACTGATAACCACCAGACGACAAGCAGCATATCATCAACAGATAATATACAAACTCCTTTAAGAAATAGTAAACAAGTCTTAAACAATGCATTGCTTACAAATGATCAATGCAAATTCGCGTATTATCGTTTCGCCTCTGATCCTAGCCTACCTTGGCGTGTATATGCAACATTTTGTTGGGCTTTAACAAACTGTCTAAATCAGTATGGCGATTATCTAGAGTAAGTTACTTGGCTTTTGAGAGATACTAATTTGAACATTTCAATTATGCGCCTATGAACACTTCAAAGTCTTGCATTTCTGATTGATGCGTTTATAAGTGTAATAGTCTTGTTGACGCAGATATATGCGGATGATATAGTCCTCCTTCCTAGGTGAAGACGCTGATAGAATGCAGAGTCTTCTGTAAACACCGCGAGGACGAACTGAAATCTTCGACTGTTTGGCATGCGATTCGCTTGTGGTGGCAAATGTAGGATGCTGCTACATGACTGGACTGGACTGTACTACGTTGACTTTGCTCCTAGCTTAAAGATAGGGAGTAAGATGGTAGTGTGCTGAGGACTTATCTTATTCGAGATGTTGTCTCATGAGTCCCAGTGGGTTAATCGCTGACGAAATCACAGAATGGATACAAAAGGCTCATGCGGCATTTACCAACAAGCATCATCTCTGGTGGAGACATAATATCCAGTCGTCTTTCATGGTTGACTATGAAAGATGGTCATTGAGAGTGGAAGACATGAAAAAAAACAGCTGTCTTCGATCATAGGTGTCTTCCTTCTATCTCTTGTGTTCGATGGTGTAATGCGGTGAGCAAATGTTGAGGTTAGTCGTCGAGTGTTAGGTGGACAGGGGAAATCAATTCATGAGGTTGTTAAGCTACATTCCATTGTGGATTAAATTTATTTTGATAAAATCCCACAGTGTTATACAGTAACATTTACTAATATCCACAACAAACTGTTGTGGATTTCACTGACTGGTGAGGTCATGTTTTCGTTTAACCACCACTAGCTCTTTTCCGACGTAATTTATCATTTATCAGCTAACGTTGCCCGTGGTCGAAGAAGGCGATGGATGGCTAGGAATGCATACGTAGCACATGTCCTAACCATCTCGCTCAATCGACGTAACTTCACAACCTTGTTGATTGATTTCCTCTTCTAACTTAACATTCGATGACTAACCTCAATGTTGCTCACCCTATTATACCCCCTAACACGTCAAATGGAGCGCAGACACTTATGGCCGAAGGCAAATGATAAATGTGCGTCGGTGGCACAGTTGTTAGGACTCTCGCCTACCATGCACATGGTCCGAGGTTCGAGCCCACGCCGACTCACACTGATATCTATGGTCGGCCTGCGAATTTTGGGCTACCGATATCCATGCTGAAAATTCCATACTTGTACCAAAAATACGGTGTGGAATCAAGCTGTGATCAAAAAATAAATAAATAAAAATAAAATAGTCTTTCATACCTTTCACTGTTAATGTCCATCTCTAACAGCCAGAAACAATGGAGGACAGAGCCGACTGCTCAGCACTACACAAGCCCTAGTGTGTTGCGTCTACCCCCAAGCCCTCCGAATTGCCTTTAACCACCTAACGTTAACAATTCCAACTGCACCCTAATGGTTAGCCACCTATTAATATTATTGTTCCTAGAGGAACATAGGGCTTCAGCCGAACGTCTTCATTGCATTCGGTTCCCTACCAACGCCTTCACCTGGCTCCGAATCTGCCCACACGCCTTCATCTCGTCATATGACGTCATCCTCCTCCATGTCACACTTGAGCGTCGGCGGCACAGTGGTTAGGACTCTCACTGACCATGCACATGGTCCGGGTTCGAGCCCACGCCGACGCACACTTGATATATATGGTCGGCCTGCGAATTTTGGGCCACCGATATCTACACTGAAAATTCCATACTTGTACCAAAAAAACGGTGTGGAATCAAGCTGTAATCAAAAATTAAACTTGCCACTCCCCTTTCGGGTTCCACTTGAGTGACGGCCTGCCATGTGATGTCACTCACTTGATGGTTTGTTTTCTCAGAGAATGGCCAATCTAATCCATCTCTATTTCTTCCAGCGTATTTGTTGCACAGTTACTACCTGTTGGGTTGGTTCGCTGCCAGAGATCCCACTGGGTTGCTGACTTTCTCTGGCCATCTGATTTTGGGTAGTATTGAGCTGTTGTTTGAAGTGGTCTTCATGACGCGGAGCCAAGTCTCTGATCCGTATGATAAGTAGCACTGACTTCACCTTGGAGCTGAAAATCCGGATCTTATTTTTCATGCTGAGCGGCGCTGTTGACCTCCACACAGAATTGAGAGCAATCAAAGCCTGCCTTGCTTTTCCAATCCTCGCTTTGATGATATCCTCGTCAGTTCCACCTGTAGTTGAAAGAATGCTTCCCAGGTAGGTAGGAGGTTACTTCTTTCGGATTCCTCCCATGTGTACTGATTGTTATTTGCTGTTGTTTCTGTTGGCCAGGAATCTTCATCACCTCTGTTTTCTCTTTGTTCACCTGAAGGAAGTCCTATCTTTGATGCTTCTCCTGCCAACTTGTTTCTTCTCACTTGCATATCTTCCAGTTTGTGGGAAATCAGACATGTATCATCGTCGAAGTCCAGATCACCCAGTTTCTTCTTCCGTGTGGGTCCATTTTATACCTGTTTCCTCGTTGACCGCTGTTTGTTACATTACACGCCAATAAAATCATTGTAGAATTGAAAGCTTTCTTTCATTTCACCACACTTAACCTGTTTTCTCTCTGTGAAGTCAGCTATTTCTAGGCAAATGTGTATAATCAGAAGCCAACGGAATTCTTTCCTTCCTTCCTAACTTTTAAAATTGCTAATATAAACACATATTTTTCCTTTCAGGACGATATCACTCAGTAATACATCAAGAGAAAGACTCCAGATGTTGAAAATGACGCGGTGCTGTACAGCTTAAGTAAAGTGTTTAGATAACAATCAGAGTTCTATTTTTGTTCTAGAGAATTTCATGCATTTATGATCTATTTATTTATTGTAAGAATCGTTACCATGTGTGTGAAATAAATACATAAAAGACAATTTCTGCCTTTGCAAATTTCAAAAAGACCAAGTAGTAGTCGTAGTAGTGGTTGTTTACGCACAGGAGAATTGAAACATCATGCCATCTTCAGTTGTTCCCCACCGGTAACTGCTACCTTGACGTGGTGGTTGGGCTTGCATTTCACAATGACCCAACAAGCTACACATGCTGGAGCTTTTGTTCCTGCAGGTCCTACCATGCCAGAAAGGTTGTTCGCATAGCGGTTAGAATAAAGACAGTTACCGGAATTTTCTTCTGCTGCTGTGGAAGAGGGATGTAACGGCAACGAGGTGTTTCCCTCAGATGACCAGCATTTCAGCTATGCTGTCTCTCCACTCTGGAGAGAGGGGTAGTAAAGGTCGACCCCAAAAATTGTACATCCCAACTTATCACGGTGGTCCGTAACCGGCGATGAGTTTACTAATACGGAACCGACCCCAAAAACCAGTTCATACAGGCTGTGTGTGACCGGCGTCAATCAGTTGTCCCCTGGGCTCTGCAGTTATGTAAAATCAACCTTCTTTCTGTTTCTGGTATTCGAAGATGCAATCAACTTCCATGGTGTGGGCAGCCGGGTAGTAACAACCGCCCACACACTTCCAAGAGCACACGAAGCCTTCCTGAGCATCATTCTCCTTTACCGAAATCATCTTCATCTACCTCCCTACTACAGTTAGTACTATTTTTCAAGCTAGTGTGGCATGTTCACTTCACTCTGTGACCGCAAACAACGTTGAGATCCATAGAAACACATCCGCCAGCCTCTTAAAGTCACGTCGTCAAATTCATATAGGAGCTTTCAACGTCAGAACTCTCCCCCATATCGGACAACAGGTATCACTAGCAAGAACTCTGGCATCTCGAGCAATGGATGTATGTTGTGTTTCGGAGACACGCATACGAGACCCGAGTGTAGTCATTCACGTAACCCCACTCGGCAAACAAGATCAATCTGCAAAATTCACTTTAAGAGGGTCAGGAGACCTCTCAGCTAGCTCGCGACGACTCGCAGGTGTAGAGATAGCATTGAGTGTTAAGGCAGAAGAATCACTTCTTGACAGGATCCAAGTGGATAGTCGTATATGTGTGTTCCGTCTGAACTAGTCCGTTAACATAAGAAGGCGTTACCCGTCGTTGTCTTTTCGTGGTCTCCGCTTACGCCCCAACAGACTGCAGTTTGGATGAACTAAAGGATGACTTCTACCTGAGACTGCTTAATTTGCTGCAAAAAGCAAAACGTTCAGATAAAGTAGTTTTAGCAGGCAACTGGAATTCCGAAGTAGGGAAGTTGTGCCAAACTGAGAAGTATGCAGGCGGTACGTTTGGAGTGACCGTCTCCTACAGTTCTGTTCAGATAATCATTTGTTTCTTGTAAGCACTAACTTTAAACACAAGGAGAGACACTGTTTAACCTGGCGACCCCCATCATCAAACCAACGCTGGACACAAATAGACCACATAGCAATAAGCTATCGTTGGCGTGGGTCGGTAGGAGATTGTCGCTCCTTCTGGAACACGTGTGTAGATACCGATCACGCACTGGTCCGGGCTCGTGTGTGCTTACGACTGAACGGACGTAGGAAACAGCTGGCGGTAAAACCATTACGCCCCAGCTCGATCAGGAAACTAAATCCCTATTTGAGGAAGAACTAGCTAAACGCATATCTGAATCCGACAGCTGTGCTCACCCTGGAGAAGCCTGGAAGAATATTCAGTCAGCTATAGATACAGCTGTAAAAGCTGTGAATAAGACAAATCCAAAGGTGAGTAAAAACCACTGGATTTCGACTGCCTCATCCGAACTGATAGATGCTAGAAGACTTATTCCGGCGAGCTCCGAATTCAATGAGGAGCGAAAGCTGCACAAAAGGAAACTTACTAAAAGTCTCCGCAAGGACCGTGAACAGTGGTGGGTGACAAAGGCGAAAGAGATGGAAAAAGCATTGGCGATAGGCAACACTAGGCAACTCTTTAGACTCATCACAGAATCGGGTGGGAGAAGGCAATTCATAAGTGAGACTATTTCTGAGAAAAATGGCTCCTTAATTAGCTCTCAGGATAGACGCCTTGAACGCTGGAAAGAACACTTTGAGGAACAATTTAACTTGCCTACAGCCACACTGAACCTCCCCGCCATCCACCACGTACCCGAATGGGATATAGACACTGGTCCGCCGTCTGTAGGTGAGGTTACAAAAGCTATCAGTAATTTGAAACGAGGCAAAGCGGCAGGACCCGACGGAATTATTCCGGAGGTGTTTAAATATGGGGGTGACATACTAGTTTGTAGATTAACTGAGGTACTAGGCAAAGTCTGGGAATCAGAGACAGTACCATCAGACTGGGGTAAGTCACTTATTATACCGATATTCAAGAAGGGAAACAAGTCCTCGTGTGATAATCATAGGGGGATCAGCCTAACGAACATAGTCTCTAAAATCCTAGGCTCAGTAATCATGCATAGACTAAGCAGAACTCGGGAGGAACAGACAAGGGAAAATCAAGCAGGCTTTAGACCAGGTAGAGGGTGCATAGATCATATCTTCACTCTTCGACAGATTCTAGAACATAGACACACTTTTCGGCGTCCAACAATTGTCATATTTCTTGACTTGAAGGCGGCCTTCGACTCCGTGGATCGAAAGGTACTATGGCAATGTCTGACTGTGAAGGGAGTGCCAAGAAAGTACATTGCACTAATCAAGGCACTCTATTCAAACTCACGTAGTCGTGTAAGGGCTTATGGGGAATTGTCATCTGAATTGGTAACAACCAGTGGTGTCCGACAGGGATGTCCACTTTCCCCATTTCTGTTTAACTTCATCATAGATATGCTAATGGAAGTATCCTTAACTGAACGTAGTGACTTAGGAATCGACTTGTTACCAGGGAATAATCTAATGGACTTAGAATATGCAGATGACATAGTCCTGTTAGGGGAGGATGCTGACAAAATGCAGAGTCTTCTGAACACCTTGAGCAGCAATCTTCGTATGTTTGGCATGCGATTCGCCCCTGCAAAATGTAAGATGCTGCTACAGGACTGGACGACGTCAACCCCTAACTTAGTGATAGGGAGTGAAGTGATAGAACATGTTGACCACTTCACCTACTTGGG